TATCTTCAGGTGTCAGGTTCAGAATGAACTATAAGTAAAGTCGTCGCAGGAGCGCAACAATATTGGCAATATCATTTTAAAGTCGTCTACTTTAAAATGCATAATGTATGTCTGAATTGTCAATATAAATAAGTCAGATAAAATTAAATTTTTAGAAGAATTTTTCACTATGTAACAAAAAACAAAACTTGTTTAATTTACTGTTTGTATTTTGAGAACGATTTCCGAAGTGGAAATTAAAACATCAATAAACGTATTTTTATCTTTCATTGTGGCTTATTCCCAGTTAAAAAGTAATTGTTTTACAATGGTTAATAAATTCCTCCCATATTTCTCATATGGGGGCAAAAGCAGTAATGTCTCTGATTTCAGCTCTAGTTGCCTTATCATCGAACCTAAGACAAGCAGTTAGAAATTTAAATCGAAAGTTGCTCATCCTAGCCCTGTATTTGGCACCGGAAAACGATGTATTAAACATAATATTCAATGACAAGTGATTGTCCTTTAGTACTGCAGCGAGTATATAAAGTCCCATGAGCGCCTTCAGTTCTTTAATATTAGTTTCAGATGTTCTTTAAGCAGCGTCATAATAATTTTTGTTTTTTTGGTTTATTTCTTGATTTGTATGTCACTATTTTAGTTAGCATCGAATCGGTGAAAAATATTTCGAATGCACGCAAAGGTTCTAAAATGACCATGACTTAGGACCAGGCCTTACATGGACAACGTTGATTGCAGTTGTTTTACCGATTGCTTGTGGCGTAGTTTCCCACACCACAAGCCACAAAAAGATATCCATTTTTTTTTCTTAAGGGTATCTCCATATGGAACTATAATGTGTTCGAGATCATTAGCGGCACCCTAAAAATTATTGAATTAGTTTAACAATTGGCACAAATCGTATTAAATTCATACCTCCAGAAAATTGGTACTGGAGGGCTGCCCTCTCTGCGCATGGTGTGGTTGGATCATTGTTTCAGTATCGTCAGCAACTTCCTATAAATTACAAAAATAAAATTAAGTGCAGGCTAGCCAACTCATTATAAAATCAACCTACCCCTTAAAAACTCATACTAGGTGACACTTCTTCTTGTGCCCTAGGGGCCTTTGAAGGTAGCGTATATATGGACATATACATCTTAGACTTTTTTTCCATGTCCTCCTCCACATTTTCTTCATCGGGAACAAAATCGGAATCAAAAATGCTGTCATCAGAATAACTATCAATTCAAGCGTTAGTGTTTGTATTTTGAGAATGATTTCCGAAGTGGAAATTAAAAACTCAATAAACGTACTTAAACCTTTACTTGTGGCTTATTCCCAGTAAAATAGTTTAATTTATAATATAAAATTAAATTAATTATTAAATAATAATTAATTTAAAATGCCACAAGAAAATAGCTTCAGAACAATATTAGTTTGACAATGTAACTCTCTTACTTATACATCGATGATTAAATCATGATTTAGTCGAAACAATATAATGATAGTCTTTTATACAACCGTAGGCAATTGTTGCACGACTAAATCTGCACATGCAAAAATCCAATTGACTATTGAAGATACTGCAATTGAGAAGGTTAATAACTATAAATATTTAGGAACATGGATAACATCAGATGTAGACCAAACCAAAGAAATTAAGACACGTATTGAAATAGCACGTACATCATTTATTAAACTTAAAAAGTTTCTTTGTTTTTGGGATATAAGGTTAGAACTACGCCTGAGAATGCTTCGATGTTACGTGTTCTCTACTCTTCTTTATGGTCTGGAAGCTTGGACACTCAAACAAGTTCATCTGAATAAGCTGGCCGCCTTTGAATTTTGGTGTTACAGAAGAATCCTACGAATATCATGGATTCAAAGAATGTCAAACATGGAAGTAACTAGAAGGATAGGAAATGAGGCGGAAATAATATTAACTATTAAAAGACGAAAACTTGAGTACTTGGGACATGTGATGAGAGGGCAAAAATACGCATTATTACAACTTATTATGCAGGGCAAAATCCGAGGAAAGCGAAATGTGGGAAGACGAAGAATATCCTGGCTTAAGAACTTAAGGGAATGGTTTGAATGCAGTAGTGCAGAACTTTTTAGAGCGGCAGTCAACAGAGTCCGCATAGCCATGATGATTTCCAACCTTCGATAGAAGATGGAACTTAAAGAAGAAGAAGGCAATTGTTGCATGCCCGTATATTCCAGTGCAACAATGATTCTTAAATCCGGTCCTGATGTGCCGCTCGGGGTAAACCGGCAACATGGCCAGCCGTTTTCCCGTAAGAAATACATCGCTTATCTTACTCGCACTGCATTCTAACTGTGGTTCCTACTATAGAGCAAGAAAACTGGAAAATACAAAACAACAATTTCCCACTTGAAAAAATTTAATTACCCGTATAGATCGCTGTTTTGGATCTAAAAAGCTGAAATTGGGTGAACCCTTATATTTTATAGTATAGAATACGCCTATAAAATAAAGTCAAATCGAGAGGACTGCTTGATCAACTTTGAATAGTTGACGCGGAATTACCCCTTTTCATTATTGGTATCTTAAATAGAATAGAATAGAAATATGCTTTATTGTCACTGAAAATTATTGAACAATTTTATGGACAAAGCTAAAAAATAAATCAGTCAAATAATGCAAAAAGTATAAAACAAAAACAAATATAGTAAAAAACAGAATAACACAATTTTAAATTAGTAAAATTATTGTATAACCTACATAATTTGTACAGACAACAACAAATGAGACAAATTGTAGCCACTGCTTGAGACACCCAAATGTAATTATAAACAATACTAATTTTATTTCTTTGTTATACATTAAGAAACTCGTCAACTGAGTAATATGGTCTTTCTAAGAGATAGATTTTTGTCACCTTACGATACTTAATGAAGGATGTTGCGGATTTAATTTCTCTTGGAAGGTGATTATAAAGTTTCTTTGCACGATATAGAATAGAATTCTTTACTAGCTGAGTGGACGCGATCGGCAAATAAACGTTACAATCCGAATTTCTAATGGAGTAGCCATGATCAGGTCTATCGGGAAAAATGTTTAGATGCTTTCGAATCAAACAAACCGTTTCCAAAATAAATAAAGACGGAAGCGTCAAAATTCCGTGATTTTTGAAGTAGGTCTTGCAATGAGTTGTTTGTTTGAGACCAAATAGATAACGGATTGCTCTTTTTTGCAACTTAAAAATAGTATCAAATTGGGCCGCTGTACTAGAACCCTAAAATGGAAGCCCATATCGAAGATGGGACTCGAACAATGAGAAATATGCCATTTTGGCAGAAGATAAATTTAGTTTCTTCGAAACAGATCTTATTGCAAAGCAAGCTGAAGCTAGTTTCTTCCTTAAGGAGTCAGTATGCAAGGACCATTTGAGATCACTCTCAATGAGAATACCTAGAAATTTCACGGAATATACGATATTGATTTGGCTCTCATTCAAAAGCAAGGGTTGCATGACTCCTTTATAAGATAATGCTACAGTCTTTTCCACGTTAAAGCTAAGTAAGTTGGAGTCTGACCAAGCCTTGATTATAAGTAAATCAGAGGTTATAATTGAATGAAGCGTTGAAATATCAGAGCTGCTCCAAGTAATACTGGTATCATCAGCAAATAGAAAAATTTTTCCTTTAATTTTCAAGTAAGTGATGTCATTAATGAAAAGTAAAAAAAGAATGGGACCTAATACTGAACCTTGCGGTACTCCACACTCAATATCTTTACAACTAGAGCGACATCAATGAAACAAATGCGACATCAATGAAAAAACTGGAATCATTTGAGCTGTGGGTGTACAGAAGAATATTAAAAATATCTTGGACAGAACACGTCACAAACAAAGAAGTTCTTGAAAGAATGAATAAAGAAATGGAAATTTAAAACACAGTAAAAACAAGAAAATTAGAATATCTCGGACATATTACTCGTGGAGAGAAATACACCCTGCTCCAATTGATTATGCAGGGAAAGATACAAGGAAATAGAAGCATAGGGAGGCGTAGAATGTCATGGCTGCGTAACTTGAGAGATTGGTACGGATGTACATCAAATGAACTTTTCAGAGCAGCCGTCTCAAAAGTCCGAATAGCTATGATGATGATTGCTGATCTTGTCGGAGATGGCACTTGAAGAAGAATATTGGTATGATACATATTGAGTATGGTATGGTAAGAGATAATAGCGAACGTCAGCTAAGCACAAAACATTTCAAAGTTATATTATTTTATTGAGAATTAACCGCAACATATAAAATAAATTCTTTATTTAATCTTTTGGCTTCCATATCTGCATAAATAAACCATCAATTTTCAATTATAGATTAAAAGTCAGAAGCGATTAAAAAAGTAAATATAATCTGAAAACCGAAATGTCAAATGAAGATATTGTTTTATAATTGGTGGTTTATTCCTAACATGATATATGGCTAAACGTAAAATGTCACGAATAACAACAGTTTCAGAATAATATTAAAAACTTAGGACCTAGGTTTACGTGTATGAATATTTGATAAATACAGTTTTGGCATTTGAGATTCTTTCTAAACTAATTTATAATCCACTGACCTTGTGGTTTATAATATAGCATCAGTTTTAGAAATAAAATATTGCATTTGTCATCATTTGCATATAATTAAAAACTCATCCATTATTTTTTCATAAAGTAGACCATTTTATTATGGATTAAAGTCATAATATAGTGAGAGACAAGAAATTATCTGGTCGTAAATCTGGTATGCTGATTGAAAAAGAACCATCCGAAATCCCTAGCTAACTAAAAATTACATATTTACGTAATAATTGGATCTGCTTATTTGAATATCGATAAAATATGTGTCTATAAGGTCATAGCATCAATTAATAAAATGTTAAAACTATTTTTGTGTAGGTTCTAAAATTCAGTGGGGATTTAAATTTAGTTTTTTGCCATTAGTATAAATTTTGGCAGGACCACATTGTCTTTGCATTGTCCTACAGTTGCTTAAACAATCAATACATCAAAATGAAAGTGGTAAGTGTTAAAACAAATCTTGTATTTTCTTTTGTTTTCTGAAAAAAAAACATAATTTCTTTGTTTAAAATTATTAGAGGAAACCATTAAGGGTCCCGTAACTTCTATTACAAAGATCCTAATACCTGAAGTTTTTTTCTTCAGCTAGTTCTACAATATATACATCATTTCGAGGAAATTGATCCTCTTCAATTTTGTTCCCAGTATCCGTTCTGAGTATCGCTAATAGAACAACATATGGGTGAAGACTATTTTTGTGCAATGCTCTACAACATTTAGTTTTGCTTGTGACGTTGTCATTTATATGTCAATGAATACTCCCATTTCCATAGTATCATTGGGCAGAAGTAGTATACCGCCTTAACAGTTAAGTTAGAAAGTATTGTACTATCGGTAGTAAGTACCGTACACATATTCCTATCGAAAGGTAAATAACATCTTTGTCAATAGAAGAAACTAACGTTGTTTTGTAATTATTTTCATTATATATTAATTACAAAAATTCTTCAGTATCTTTTTGTTGCAGCTGTCTGTCTGTTTTCTTATTTTCTTTACACATATTTTGGCTACTTTGTTCTCATCATTATCATCATCATCCAGCCTCTCGCGTTCACTGTTAGACATAAGTCTTCTCCATACTCCTCCAGGATAATTTAATTTGCACAAGTTGCATATAATATGCTTTACTTTTCGTATGTCAATCGTGTCAGGGGTCTTTTAGTTATTAGTGTAAAATTGTGTGTAAAAGTAAACAGCGTTATTTTAAGTTTAAAGCCTGACATTGTCTTCTTTGGTTTTTTTCTTTTTAAAAATTGCAATATAACAATGATAACAGCAGAAAAAGTATCGCAAGTTGCTGCTTTACAGGATGATGGGCAAAGCATTCGTTACATCGCAAAATGCCCTAGAAATTTACCTAGGAAAGTACAAGTGTTTGGTGCAATACAAAGATTTCGGGAAACATGGCAATACAACAGTACTTGTTCAACAATAAAATGATGTTCATAAAAACAAATTATACCGTTAAAACACGTTTAAATGAATGTAGATTAAGGTCCATAATAACTGTCATAGGATCTGGATTAACAGTAAATCATTAATTGCGAGATTACACTTCGCTCACGAATATAATACTGGGAATATTGAAGAATGAGCTACGGTGCTCTTCATGGATAAATCAAGATTTAACAGATACTCATCAGATGGGTGGCCTAGGATATGGAAAAGAGTGGTGAACATTATTATTAACGGGATTTATTCACAGAGTTCAATTTGATACAGGGGGTATAATTGAGTGGTTAGGCACTTCCCTAGAAGCTCATACACAACTTGTTACAATTCAAAGAGGCAATTTAAACTTTAAAAGGTATATTGAACAATATTTGGAAGATAATGTAGTGCCATTTGAAAATGCTTCTCCGAACATTACAAGAATAGGACAGGATGACTTGGATGGAACTAGGATTCCTTTATTAACATAACTGCCAATGAATCTTGTTATACTTAAAATAATCATGTTGGGTTTGAAATCATTTATTGAAGCAAGCAGTTCATCATGAATGGGAGCAAGTTCTTCAGAAAGAATATGTTGCCTAAATTCAAAGCATTCCTGCTTAAAAGAGCCATAATTAGGGCTCTTAAAGGTAATACACCCCACCAAATATCGCCCTTTAAAAATATTTAAAATTAAAAAAAAATGAATTTTTGATGCTTCAGAGATTTTCACACTTTTTGAATTTTTAATATTCGTTTCTTCATTAAATTTCTTATTTTAATTTGTAAAAATTTTACTTTAAAATTTTATTTATTATTATATACACAATTTTTAATTTCTAAAAAAACATTTAACCGCTAGTTTTTGGGAAATATCTGAATGTCCTATTAATTTTTCACTTCAGTGTATTATATGCATACAAAATTGATGTATTATTTTAAAAAATAAAAAAAAATTTATTACTTTTCTTTATTTGTAGCTCATTGTTGTCTCAGCTTTAATCGCTGTAGCTTGTGCTGCTGCTTACCCACAATTGCTTCAACACAATTCGCCATTCAAACCTCTGGTTCATGGTGCAGTCCATCCCGCAGTGCATCCAGTATTGCATCCCGTAGCACATGCAGCAGTGCATCCAGTAGTCCAACCTCAACAACACGTAGCTAGATCTGGTTCCTATGACCATTCCAAAGATGCCAAGGTTTTACGTTACGATAGTGAAAGCAGTGTAGGAAACGAGGGATATAGATTTGCGTAAGTAGAGTTGATTAATCCTTCTGCTTCTTCTCTTTTATAAGCAATTCTGCTTGTTTATTGGCGGATTAATATCTGTATGGAAAGTTGTTGCATGGTCGTCCGTACAAAACTATGGAGTTATTCCCTATGGAAAATATTTATTCTCATTTATATTTCTTTGATCCAGAATTTTCTTAGCCAAGAGTTAATTTTTGCCCAGCTTGTTTGACTTCATCACTTGCTGTGATATATATGTGTTCTAATTTTCTGTTATTTTGTTTTGAAATAGGTGTTTGGTAGAGCCTAATTTATCCTTTAAAGCTAAAATAAATGAGAGTCAAATAAAATGTTTGAGAATGTCTCATCATCAAAGTAAAAGAAACTCGCAAAACTACAGTTTTCAAGATTTTAAGTTTAAATGAGTTAGTATTTTCTCATAGAAACTCACAGCAGACTCACAAAATAAAATACATAAGCCACATTATCTTAAAAGTAAATTTATTGAAAAACAAGGTACACTTTGGTAACCTAAAGCTAGTAAAATCCACCTTGCTTTCCAAATAAACTAAAATTAAGATGCAAAAACTTTGAAAAGACCAGTTGTTACGAACCAGAAGATAATATCTTCTAAAAATGTTGGGTACCACATTAAACCATCGTTCTGTTTACAGCAGCTCAAAATAGATCAGTTGACGTTAGACAAGTCAACTTTCTAAGATTGGCTAGCCAGAATATATGTTTACGTCCAGGGCCTCTCTTACTCTCAATCTTGCCTTGTATAATCTAAAAGTCGGTATTTATCATTACGCATGGTATGGCCGAAGTGAGCCAATTTTCGGTTTTTTATGATGTTAACAATTTCTTTGTCTTTTCTTAGCCTCTGGAGAATATGTATGCTACTTGTGTGGTGTATATATATAAGACTTTCAGCTTTATACTACATAAAGTAGGCCACTTAAGACGTAACATCTAAGAATTCTTATGCGTATATAGATACTTAAAAATAAGTTGCAGATAATCTTCCTAAGACTGTTGAAAGAATTTCTGGCTTTTTCAACACGAGTTGGTAATAAAAATCGGTGCATAGTTAAGTTTGTAATATATAAAATACAAACGTAGTTAAGATATGAAAATAATGCCCCCTGAGGTATATATTTTATACCAAACAATGTAAAGTAAACAGAGGTGACAAAAAGAAGAAGATTTGTGCAAACTTTGTGTACACTCACTACGGGTTGTAGTGTCAAAGATAATGATAAACACAATTTACTACTAAATAGTTGTCTCTCTACTTATTCTATCTAATTAATACTGAAAATCAGTGATTGCATGTTCAAATATCCAATATCCGACACTGCTACTGCAGTGTTCTCTATGTTACGAATTTCTACGTCTGCTTCTCCTTCTACTATTTTTATGAGTTTGCCGTTTTCATTATCCACGGCACCCTATTTTCCCAGTCTCCTTCTCTAAGGTCTCTATCTATTAAAGCATTTCCTATGTATGTTTTTCATCTTGTAGCAGTTCTTCCTCACGGTCATCTTCCCGGTCAGTGCCAGTCCATTATTCTTTTCGGCCAACTGTGCTTTGGCGTTCTTTGTATACGTCAGTACCACTGCAAGGCTATGTTTTTAAAAAAAATTGTAATTGGGCATTTTACTTCCATTTTGTTCCATACATACTTCCTCTGTTCTATCACTTTGTGATTTTTAAACTTCTTGTTATAAAGTACAGTACAACTATTCTTATTTTATGTTGTATTGATGTTGTCATTGGCCATATTTCCGCTCCATATAGGGTTATTTTCACCACTACGCTCTGAAAGATTTTTTTTTTGTTTTTTTTTTTGGTAAGAGTGTCATTCCTTATCACTCCATGAAGTACTTTCGTAACTTGTTTTTCCCGTGATATATCCATTTCTATATCTTTTATACAAGTACCATATTGGCTTATGTGTTTGAAACTGTAGGTGAAATACCACATCCTTGTTTGAGACCTTTGGTTGCGGTGATTGTTTTTGTTATTTAATTGCCTAACTTAATTTGCACCTCTGTTTTTAATATATTATTTGTTTTATATTCACCCATTTATCCCTGCATTTTTTTCATTGCTTTCCATAGTTGTTTCCAGCGCACGATATCATATGATTTCTTCCACACTATAAAGGTCATATGTGTGTGAATATCTATTTCTTTGTTCTTTTTTATCATCTGTCTTGTAACGAATATATTATCTAGACACACTGTTGCTTTTTGGAATCTGACTTATGGGTCCTTCGCCATAATGATCCATGTACTCCTTACTTACTCCGTGGCGTTACAACCCTTCGTGGGTTTTAGCCGACTCGACAACATGCCTCCACTGTTTTCTATCTTGAGCAACCTTCATCCAATTCTCCACGCCCATTGTTCTTAGGTCTCCTGCTATATTATCTCGCCACCGGAGACGAGGGCGTCCGCGTGGTCTCCTTCCAGTTGGAACTTCCTCCCACACCAGTCTTACTGTTCGTTCGTCAGAATGTCTTCTGAGGTGTCCTGCTCATTGGAGACTTCTGGACTTTATTTCTTTTATGATGTTGGCGTCTGGGTAAAGTTCTTCAAGCTCTTTATTAGTTCTTATCCTATATTGTCCTGATGCTTCATCATGCACCGGACCAAAGATCTTCCTTAGGATTTTTCTTTCCCAAACACGTAGTCTCTCTTTATTTTAATTTGTTATCGTCCACGTTTCGCTTCCATACATCACAACGGGTCGTATGATTGTTTTTTAGACCTGTATCTTCGTACGTCGTGTTAGTTGTTTTGATTTTATAAGGTTTTGGAGGGCAAAAATACATCTGTTGCCGGCCTCAATCCTGTTGTTTATTTCTTGTGATCCGTTATTGTCTTCAGTTATTGTTGTTTCAAGATACTTGAATTCTCTAACGCGCTCAAAGTTAAAGTCATCGATGGTAATGTTTTGACCGATTCTGTCTCTGCTTTGGTTATTGCGGCTGATATACATATATTTCGTCTTGTTTTCGTTGATTTGGAGCCCCATCTTCTCTGCTTCCTTCTCAAACCTTACGAAAGTCTCCTTCATTCTTAATCGCGTGTTTCCTATTAGATCTATATCGTCTGCAAATGCCAGTAGTAAGTTTGGTCCTTCTCGATGAAATACTGTATTCGGTTTTTCGATTCTGGCACTTCTGATTATGTGCTCCAGAGCTAAGTTGAAGAGTTGTGGTGAAAGTGCATCTCCCTGTTTTAGTCTATTGTTTATTTCAAATGTCTCCGAGTATTGTTGTCCAACTCTCACCTTACATCGTAACCGTTCCATACACATCCGTATCAACCGGACTAGTTTTTCTTTGAAAAGCCAAGTTCCTGCATCGCTGTCCACAGTCTGTCCCTACATACTCTATCAAATGCTTGTTTAAAATCTATGAACATCTGATGAAGCTCACGATCAAACTCTCAGCATTTTTCCATTATCTGTTTTATTGTGAATATCTGGTCAAATGTAGAGCGGCCCGATTTAAATCCGCATTAATAATCTCCAACGATTTCTTCTGTGTATGTTTTGGTTCTTTCTAGCAGGGTGTTTGCAAGGATTTTGTAGGTGGTGTTTAGGAGTGTTATTCCTCTGTAGTTAATACATTGCTTTTTGTTACCTTTTTTGTGTATTGGTACAATAACCCCTTCTTTCCATTCATCTGGCATTGTTTCTTCTTGCCAAATGTCTTGAATTAGCTTGTATGTCGAACTGTACAACGCTTCTCCTCCATGTTTTAAGCACTCTGCGGGTATACCATCGATACCTGGTGTCTTATTATTTTTGAGTTTTTTAATTGCCTGTATTACTTCTTCGTATGTCGGGTATTGGTCTTCTATTTCAGCTGTATGTACCTCTATGTTTGATGTACTTCTGCTAGATTGGTCATTCAATAGTTGATAGAAGTATTCCTTCCTGGTTTTTAAGATTTCCTTGTCATCAGTGATAAGCTGTCCACTGTCGTTTTGGAGAAAGTTTCCTGTTCTTGCTTGGTACCCGGTCTTGATATCTGAAACTCCTTTAAAGAACTGCCTCGCTTGTTTGTTCTTTCTTTTTTCTTCTATATCTCTGATTATTTGATCAGAGATGTGCAATGATCCATGTGGTGTTGTATATTTTCCTTTATTACCGTGGAAAGGATGTTTGCTTTTGAAGGCATTACACTGATCTCTCTGTAACTATTTGGTAACTTTTTGTTACATTTTTTTGAAAATGGAGGACATGTATGATAGATTCCATGAATTTAATAGATGATTTAAACGAAAACTTCACTAACGATATCTTACGGGATTTCATTATTAGGAGGTACTGCTAAGTGGTTGATTTAGTAACGATACCAAAAACAAACAAAAAAATGTTGTGTTTTCTTGATCCTTGTATGTTCATAGCATGTATTCATACCGGTTTCAGAATATTTTTGTCAAACGGAAGCCTATTCTTTAAAATATTCTCTAAAATAAAATTGTTAATCAGACATTTTTTTTAATCTAAAAGTAAAATTATTATTTTCATTTTTAGTGTTGAAACCAGCGATGGACAACAAAGAGAAGAACAAGCTGTCGTCGAAAATGCCGGAACTAAGGAGGAATCCCTCTCTGTAGTAGGAAGATACTTCTACCCAGGACCCAACGGCGAAACTTTCGAAGTTAACTACGTTGCCGACAAAGATGGCTTCAGAGCTACTGGACCACATCTACCACAACCCGTCCAACCCGTTCATTAAACCAATAAATTCAGTTTTGTTGACATTCAACAGCTATGTTTATAAATCAGAAAGTATAATATAAAATAAACTTTTATTTTTCTTTAAAAATTGCTTTTATTTTTCCGTGTATCTAGTTTTATTTGTTACGAACCTGGATAAAGAATGTGGTAACAATGGATGCAGATAGAATTGATAAATACAAAGTACAAATGAGTAGCTGAGATGCAAAACTCACTCCTTACCCTTAAACGAGTTTTTTAGGCAATGTAAAAAAACTTATTGTGTCTGACTAAATAACTTGAGTAAACTGATTTTTCTGCTTGTGAAACATTATGCTGGTCTCTATAAATAAACTAAGAATTAAAAAATCAGAAGCAACATTTTAATAAAATAATATTAGATTAAAAGTTAGAACGAACGAGTTTTGCAACAAAACATTCCATTGAAACATTTTTGCTGCGAACTACTTAGAAACAAACAAGTTATGAATTGTAATAGTTGAAACCAAACCAAATAGAAAATAGTAACATAGACAGTTTTTGAAATATTTTTTATTTATAGAACTTGTACAAACAATATTATTTATTAAAAAAACGTAATGCTAATAATTTTATTATTATTAAGGCCAAAAAATGTTAAATAGCTTCCTCTATTATTTCAATGTGATTTTCTTCATTGTTTTCTTCTACTCCTTCAAAATTATTATCCACAATGGGGACATAGAATTGCAAATTGTCCTAGGTTCTCCAGTTCCCACCAAAATAAGTGTAAAGGAGTTTTTCCACATTTTTAATTTTTTCTTTTGCAACCATGACTTTGTTTGGAAGGAGAGCTGGAATAATCTGATGAATTTTCTTTCCCTTTTTTAATATTGGTTTCTGGACGCCCAGATTGCACCTGTAATTAATTTCACCCTGCACCGTCATATTGTTTTAATTAGTTTTTTCTATGATTATTCTTTTGGACGCAGAAAATTTGAAGTGGAGTTGGCCTGGAGGTTTTACAACTGTAGCAACTGCACTTTTCCAGTCTTGAACGGTACCTGGGACCCAATTTTTCCCCTGACACCAAAACTGTGCTAAAATGAGAAAACAAATTCCAATATTTACTAGGTTGTATTATTGTGTCCTTTTTTCTAATTTTTTGTTCGATACTCCCCAATACCCTACCGGGAGAAATAAAGGAGTGTCCAACCACAGGATAAGTAACAGTATTTTTTTGCAACTTAACGTTTCATATAAAAATTTGCACTACATGCCAATCGCAGTAATGTTTTTATTTTGGCCGGGACAGCCATCGCAGAAAATCATTATTTCCTTTATTTTTGAAAGGTCCTTATTTCTAACTATTTATATCTGTGCTGTCCACACCATGTATAAGCATACACTGAACCAGGATTTTGAACAATAGTAGAATTTTCCTCACAGATGATAAAATTGTAGAAATACAGTTGCCTGCTATAATAGGTAAACTGGTCTGGAACATGTGACAACACAAGGTTCTTTTGACAATCCAAAGAAAGTTTAAGTACAGAAGGCCTGTCGTCTTTTTTCAGCATGGAATAAAAACTTTTCACCTTTATTTTATGAACCACGTGTCCAGCCATAACTTCAACCTTCCTGGGTCCTGCAGGCATAATTTTTATTTGGCATCTCAGACGAATGCATTGTGAACAAGCATCTGTTGTTGGAATCTTGAAACTAATATTAAAATAATAGTTAAAAATATACAGGAAGTAACAATACTTTACCTGCAGGTTGTCATTCACTGATTGGTTGTACTGTTTCCAGAGTTTTTTTGCTGTGAAATCACTTGGCATATAGTGTCTGGTGCTTTTATCTCTTGTATAATGGGACTCCACAAACTGTAGTGATTTTAAGAAATTTGAAACAGCCTCTTTTTTACCTTTATATTTTTCAGTTTTTTGTCACCTCCCCTTTGTTTTCTTGGATACTGGATTTCTAAAAGATACTTCTCGCCAATATTTTGAACGCGGTATTTAAAAATATCCAAAATTGTAAGAAAAGCTTTGGAGCATTAGAGCAAACCTGTACCATTCCCTCCAGCCGAGTTGACATATTTTGTGGATATACAGCTTTTTCTCTCTACATTGTTATCCAGTATTTCATTATTGTTTCGTTATCTATTCTTAACTGGAGCTAGTTGCTTCGTATGTTTAAAATAAAATTATCTTGGTCCACCTTATTTGGTGTATCATAAAACGATTGATGGAAATGCCGTGCATCTTGGAGTTTAAGTTTTGAACAATAAAATGTTTTTGAATGAATGCATGTTGATAATGAGGAGAAGACTTTTGCTGTATGCCTGGAATATATAAAAATAAAATTAATAAACTGTCTGAATAATTTGAAGCAAAAATTATTTATTTCAACATAACCTCACATAAGCCTACCTATTTCGTTTCTCAATATTCCTCTTCCTCTTATCTTAAACTACTCTTGTTTTTTTTTTGGTTACCGTTACTATTAACACTGTTAAAAACACTAATTAAAACAAAATCTGTATTACTTTTATTTAAACAGTAAACTTTTTAGGTAATGTTTACAACAAAGCGAATACAAGCATGAAATGTTAGGTCAGATTCGTTAAAACAAGGTACAGGCGAGTTTTGCTGTAGAATATGCAACGAGCTAGTTTTGCAACGAACTGTTACATAGAACGAACTAGTTTTGCTACCAACTCTTATTTTATATAGTCAAAATTAAGAGAAACAAGCACGTTTTGCTACACTTTGGGATAAGACTATTGTAAAGGGCAGTCATACGTGTCAGAATCCATAACTATCTCAAATTTTTAATTTTTGGTAACGAGCGAGTTTTGCATCTCAGCTACTCAAATGAAACGAATATGTTTTAAAGTTCTCTTATTTGTATTTTTTAGCATATTGACTAGATTATGTTCATTTTGGCTTTTTTCTGTTTGAGTATAATCATTTCATGCCAATAAGTGACTTGTCTTCAATTTTGTTCTTATATATTATTTTTATTTTATTCTAACTATTATTATTCCAACTTTTTTTGTTAGACATCTTGAGTTTGTGGTGCAACTAAACTATTCTCTCAAGTTTCTTATTCATATTATGTAGAAATGTTTATTTTTGCTCTTCCATTAAATGGATATAATCTTCTTATTCTTAGCCTTCTGTCGTATATGTTTGGACATAGGCCTCTCCCAACTCCTTCCATCGGTCTCTATCCTGAGCAACATATTTTGAATTTGTTCCGGCTATTCTTCTCATGTCATCAACCCATCTCATCTGTGGTCTTCCTCTTGGTCGTTTACTTTCGTAAGGTTTCCAATATTGTAGTATTCCAACGTTGGTCTTTCTGTCTAGCAGTGTGACCCGCGAAGCTTCATTTAAGTTTTGCAATTTTTATTGTTATGTCCTCGACTTTTGTTTTGGATCTTACCCAGTCGTTCCTCTTTCTATCTGACAGTCGTATACCTAACATTGCTCTTTCCATTGTTCTTTCTGTTGTGGCTATTATATTCATGTTTGCCTTGGATATGGTCCAGGTTTGACATCCATATGTCATGATAGGAAGGATGCATTGGTTAAACACTTTGCTCCTCAAGTATTGGGGTATTTTGCGGTTCTTAAGTATTCAACTAAGTTTTTCAAATCCTGCCCATGCTAGTCTTGCTCTTCTAGTAATTTCCGAACTTTGGTTCTCTTTGTCAAGTCTCAGGATTTGGCCTAGGTAGATATATTCCTGGACTTGTTCTATCTCACTACCGTTTATAGTTATATGTCTGGGGTCTTCTGTGTTTGTCATTATTTTTGTTTTTTTCATATTCATTTTTAGGCCGACGTATTGGGAGCTGGCTGCTAGTTTCCCCAACATAATTTGCAGTTCCTTGAATGTGCTCGCTATAATCACTATGTCGTCAGCGAATCTGAGGTGGTTTAACTTGTTGCCACTAACGTTAATGTCATAGGTTGACCAATTTGTAGTTTTGAAGACGTCTTCTAAGGCTAAGTTGAAAAGCTTTGGCGATATTACGTCTCCTTGTCTCACTCCTTTCTTAAAGGGGATGGGATTTGTATTTTCGTCTAGTTGTACTATCATCTAGTTACATTTTCATATATATATTATGTATTAGTGGCCTATATCTCGAGTCTATTCTACAATTATTAGTAGCTTGTTCTATGGCCCACATCTCGATACTATCAAACGCCTTTTCATAGTCGACGAAGGCAAGAAATACAGGTAGTTGGTATTCATTTGCCTTCTCTATCAATGTTCTCATTGTCAGCAGATGGTCTGATGTACTATATCCTTTGCGGAAGAAAGCCTGTTCAACCGGTTGGTAATTATCCATTTTGTAGATTAACCGGTTATTATTAATTCTCATAAATAGTTTGTGTACTTGACTCAGCAACGATATAGGTCTATAATTCTGTAGATCACATTTGTCCCCTTTTTTGTGTAAGAGTATTACTATACTCTCGTTCCAGTCTTTAGTGATCTGGCTGTTATGGAGACTTCTATTAAATAGCTCTGTTAGTACAGATATTGTTAATGTCTTGCTTGTTTTTAAGAGCTCGGCAATTATACCGTCGTGTCCTGCAGCTTTATTATTTTTTAGTTCTTTTAAAGCTCTGTCTATTTCGTATCCCTTTATATTTGGTAGTACTTCTGATCCGACGTTTTTTATTTTTCTTTTGATTTGTTGTTTCCTAAGGCTGGCCTTGTGAGCTGTACAAGGATGTGTAGAAGTCTTCGACAATATGTGTTCTTTTATATTTGTCCTTCTCTACTGCTGATGATTCTTTGAACTCCCAGTGCGGGTCTTAGACATTTTAAGCCTCTGTTGTTTTCAATGACTCGCTCTATTAAGTTCTAGTTCCATTTTTGTATGTCGCGTTTTAGTTCTTTTCTAATTGTTTTATTAAGTTCTCTATATTCTTGAGTATGGCGTTTGTTTTGCGCTAGTAGTTGTCTTCTTTCCGTCATTAGCTGGTAAGTTTCATTGCTTATTTTGTCTTCTTTAGTCCTTGTTTTCTTTGCGACCTGTAGTCCTGCTGTGAGAAGGTTTTTATTTAGGATATATATTATGGATATAATAAAAAACCTATTTTCAGCAGAAATATTCATGGAAGAACTTGAAAAATATTGTATTCACAATAACCACATTATACCATAAAGTACGAGAGCTGTAAACAGGTTTAAACGACAATACACATTAGAAAACAAAATCGACTTTAGATTTTTATTCGCCCATTTGGTGAGAAAAGTTTCTAAAAATGTTTATCTTTGAAAGATGATCTTCGGAAATATAAAGAAATATTCGGAGTCAGTAGATATTTCCAAAGTAAATAATACTGTCGTCTTTTCTTTATAAAAAATAGCTACAATGCCTTCCACTATTGTTGGAAAACTCTTTTCTGTCCAAAATTACAACATATTTCATAAAAAATAGGCATTTGACTTAAATTAAAGGAAGTTATGCACTTATTGTATGCGAGATACCTTTAGAAATAATCAATATGATCTAAATGATCTACTACTACTAATAAAAGTAAATGAAGAACTAACTACTCCAGCTGGCAATGGGATAACACAGGAAGAGTTCCCTGAGTCCTCTTTTGTTTAACTTGATTATGGATAAGGTAATAACACAAGTAAAAACTAAAAAAGTATACCAAGGAGGAGAAAAATAACTTAAAATAATCAGCTATACAGACAACACAATACTACTCTCTGATTGAAAGTGAAGATGATTTACAACGTATGCTACACCAATTAAGTATAACTGCCAGAAAATTTAACATGCTAATTTCCCCAAAAAAAGACAAAATGCATTGTTATTACAGCAAATTTACAAAGATGTAAATTGGAGCTGGAAGATCACATAATAAAACAAGTGATGGAGTTTAAATATCTAGGCATCACATTTTCTAGCTACGAAAAGCTCGAAACTAAAGTCAAAGATCAAGTGAATAGAGCAAACAGAGCCGCAGGTTGTATAATTGAAACACTATGGAGAAATAAAAATATCGGAAAAGAAACAAAAGGTAGAATTTACAAAAGAATCATCAGGCCAATAATGACATACGCGGCAGAAACAAGACCTAACACAGAAAGGACAAAAAGGATGTAAGAAACAGTGGAGATAAAAATACTTGGAAAAATTGATGGTAAAACACTATGAGGCAGAGCTATAAGTACAGATATACGATATATTTGGAAGGTGGAGAACATCAAGAAGATTATAAACAAACAAAAGGACAATTAAGAGCGGGCATTAATTTAGCTAAGAACGAGACGTGGGATAAGAAATGTGAAGAAGTTTACAATTATATCGAAGGAAGGAAATGCTTGGAGATATGTAAATTTATATCAAATGTCAAAAACCCAGCAAAGGACAGAGCAAATATCCAGATAATCAAACCGGAGCAGTGGATACAACACTACAAAGGTCTACTACAAGAAACTAGACAGAAATACAGGATAGAATCTCCAAAATATTTTGTAGTAAATGGAGACTGGAAAACAGCTTATATATCATCTATCCATAAAAAAGGAAATAAACTGTACTGTAACAACTACCGAGGCATATCAATCACGAGTACACTGAGCAGACTATACAGTAGAATACTGCGAGATCTAATTAAAGAAGACTATAAAGAGAAAGAAGAAGAAGATCAAAGGCTTTAGAGCAGGTAGATCGTGTACCGACAACGTATTTTGTCTAAAACAAGTCATAGAGAAGAGATCTGCGAGACATCTGGAAACCCATCTTACATTTGTGGACCTACAAAAAGCATATGATACAGTCCCAGTATCGAGACTGTGGAAGGTATTAGAACAAACGAACATCAATCACAACTATATAGCTGCACTTAAAGAAATGTATGAAAATTCACAATCAAGAATTAAGATAGGTAGAAAACTCACAGGTGCCTTCATAGTTAATAAGGGACTACGTCAGGGATGTCCTATCTCTCCTACACTATTCAAAATATATGTAGCAGCGGCACTTAAGAACTGGAAAAGGATAATACACGGAATGGGTATAGTGATAGATGACAGATACCTGTTTACTCTTCAGTTTGCAGATGATCAGGTCATAGTGGCCAGTGACAAAGACGACATGCAATATATGATTAGAAAGCTGATAGAAGAGTATGAGGAATGGGGCTTGACAGTTAACGTAAATAAAACGAAATATCTATGTGTAGGCTCTCAGAGCGAAAATTTGGAGTTGGACAATAGTCAAGAAATTCTACAATGTCAAGAATATGAATATTTAGGTATCACATTCGACAATACCGGAACAGATGTGAAAGAGATAGAAAAACGAATAGTTACAGCTAAAAAGATAATAGGATGTCTGAATGACATCTTGTGGAGCAAGGAGATAACAAAAAGGAGATAATTTAATATATACGAGAAATGGTTAAGAGCAGCCTATTGTATGGAGCGGAAACATGGAGAATTTCAGACAGACAAAAAAAAGATAGAGGCAGTCGAAATGGACGCGATAAGAAGATCTATGCGAGTCTCACGGAGAGAAAGAATCAGGAATGACCATATAAAACAACGAATGGGAATAGACTGTACGATAATTCAGGATATCGAAAATAAACAACTTACCTGGTATGGACACGTAGAGCGAATGCAAAATACTAGATGGCCCAAAAAAATACTGAACTGGACCCCAATAGGGAATATAAAGTGAGGAAGACCCACACTAGAGTGGCAGTAAAACATAAAAAAGTCAATGAGCGAACGAAATCTATCTACGGAAGATTGCCACGATAGAAGATGATGGAAGTTAGGTGTCGGACAACGGAGAAGAACGTTCTAAACCGGCATATATATATATATATATATATATATATATATATATATATATATATATATATATATATATATATATATATATAGAACATCAAGAATTGGTTAAGAAATAGTAAAATAGAATAGAATGATCATCTAAGAGTAGTAAAGACGACAAGACACGGTTCCCTAATAGAAATGCATTCAGTATGAAAAATATGAAAATTATGGAATGACAACTTACTGGAGGCACACTGTAAAATAGATAGCCTTGTCTTTATAAAAAGAAGAAGAAGAAAAAGAACTATATAGCTCTTGAAAAATTAAGAAATATTTAAGACCCAGGCTACATAATCTTTCGTAGCGTTTTTCATTGCTCATTCAGTATCGGCTAGCATTTAATAACAATTTTCGATAAAAGCTCACAATTTCTGACAATTTTCGCTATATGGCCAAAAGCTACAATTTTGCTTGATGTCTGACTATCCAGTTGGAGGATCTCCTTGATTACGCTAAGTATCGTGTCTAGATCTCCATTCTAAATTTCATTCCATAATCAACATTGTCCTCTAGTGCTCTCTGTGCCACTTCTGATTTATGAGTACTTTTCTGGTAAAAGTCAATTTTTCATACGTTAGAATGGGAATACACAGTGATTACAGACCTTTCTTTAGCTCATCTAAACACTTGCCTTAGTTTTCCGTAAGCTGCCCATATTATTTCTATTTTACAATTTAACTCTATTTGATTTAATTGTCCCTTCCTAATTTATTCTCGTTGTCCAGATACTTGTAGGTATACACCTGTTCAATTTGCGTGTCATTAGTTAAAATTTTTTAGGCCAGTAAAAGGTTGGTTACATATTGTATCACAAAGTTACGTTTAAGGCCAACTTTCTTCCAAGAGCCCTAAAGGTGTTGAACAAGTTCAACAAATAACTATGCCATCTGTAAACCTCAAGTTTTTCTGAAACTGTCCATTTATGTTTACTTTCATATTTTTCCAATTATTGCTTCTCACAGCAGTCTATAATAATGCGGTAAATAGGTTAGAAGAGATGGTGTCTCCTTACCTAATACCCTTTCTAAATTTTTGTATCACCATAGTACTTTCTCTTTGCAGGTGTCGCTCTCTTATGTATTTTACCGATCGAATCCAATCTCAGGACAAATTAGTTTGGTCTAGGCTAAACAAGTATTTCTTATACGCTATAAGATTAATTGGTGTAGCCTAGTCCAAACTAATTCGTCCTAAATCCGATTGGAAAAACCAGCTAAGGCTAAATCAAAGTAGTTGTTAGTCCTGATATAAATACACACACTCCAGGATAAAGTAGTAGTAGTAAAGGGTGATTCATTTAGAGGTACTTTTTTGGTGGGAATTTGATTGAAGATCGTATCTGAATACTGTCAAACTGACATTTTGTTTTTGTTCAGTATTGTTTGAAATTTTATGATGAAAAGACTTAGCCCAGCACAGCGTCTAGAAATTATTAAGTTATATTTTGAAAATGGGAGTTCTGTGAGGAATGTGTTTCGTGCAAGAGTGGCCTAACTAAAAAAAATATGATATTTGAGTTAATAACACCGAGCGTTAGTATTTGTATTAATCTATCGTGTACAATAGTGGCCCACATCAATTTGATTAAAATGCCGGTAGAGGAATGGTCAAGGTCACTTTAGCGTATTATGATTTGTTGACAAACGGTTGTGCAGTAGTAGCCCAACGTTCGTACTTATCTATGTGTTTCAGTTTCTCGTGTGCACTAGTGGCCTATCTTTTAACCTTAAAATTCTTATTTGATTTTTCATAACTCGTGTATACTTTAATTGTTTAACTTTAGTTATTTGAAAGTTTTATTATGGATATTCCATCTACATCAGGTAAATATATTATCCAGATCATTTTCTTAAGTAATAATATTATTAAAAGTAAAAGTAGATATTTTGGAATAAGGTATTAAAAAGTATATTTTAATACAAGGCTGTATTACTGTAACTTATCTCTTTCAGGCAAAAGCAATAATACCTTTGATGACAGCGATGTCTCTAGTATTGATGATCCATATGCAGATTCAGGGTCCAGTTACAATCCTTCTGATATAGAAGAATCGTCAAGTGAAAAAAAGTACAGGTATCTTATTATTATTATAATCGTTTGCGAGAAACTAATAAACTTTGTTTTAGGTGAAAATGAAAAGGTGTTGGTGACTGATGAGAATTTACAAAGCAATTTTCAGTCCAACGATATTGCGAATCCTGGAGAAATTCTCAGAAGGAAGAAACGTGGTCCTAGGCGCAAATTTGCAAATAAAAGTCAATAGCAACGTAATATAAGAAAAAATTACGAAATAGTGGACGTGAGTATACAAACATCCAACAATTTGATACAACAATTTGATCCATCCGACTGTCGTTGTTTTAAAGAATGCCATAAACTCATTACTCTTCAAGAACGTGAAACTATTTTTAAAGATTTTTATGAACTCACCAATTATGACTTACAGACATCTTACTTATGTGGCCAAATCAAACTTACTTCAAAATTAGCCAATACTGCTAAAAGTGACTCCAGAAAATACACAAGACAATATTATTTGACAAGAGAAACAGGGCTAGATATTCCAGTTTGCAAGGAGTTTTTTAAAAAAGTCTTGAGAGTTTTAGATGGTCGACTTACACGTGCTTTGCGTAACAAGGAGCAAGGTAGTACACCTTCTAAGGATAAACGAGGAAAAAAGGAGCCTCATAATAAAACAAGTCAGGAGAAACTTGACAATATTTTTCATTTTATTTCGAGGTTCCCAAAATATCAGTCACATTATTCTAGAACAAAAAATCCAAATCTTTGTTACTTGGCTCCCACTTTAAATCTGTCAACTATGTATTTCTTATACAAACAAGAAACAAATGCTCCTGCGTCACAATTTGTTTTTAGGGATGTTTTCAGAAAAAAATTTAATTTAACTTTTCATGCACCTATATCTGACAGTTGTAGATGTGACGAATTTGAACAAAAAATAAAAACAGAAACTTCTGAAGTTAGTTTAGCAAGTTTACAGTTAGAAAAAGAATTGCATCTTCGAAAGGCCGAAAGCGCACGTGCTGGGATGGCATTGGATTTGGAATTGGGTAAAATGGCTGAAAACGATGTCACCGTAATAGCGTTTGATCTCATGTCTACATTACCTACTCCTCATCTTTCAACTGGGATATGTTACTACAAAAGACAGTTGTGGACATACTGTTTAGGTATCCACAACTTGTCAAGCAATCTGGCCCATATGTACGTTTGGCATGAAGCCATAGCATCTAGAGGACCTCAAGAAATTGGATCTTGTATACAGCATTATGTGAAAAACTATGTTAACACGTCAAAATTAATTATGTATAGTGACCAATGCGGAGGGCAGAATAGGAATATTCTGTTTGGTAATTACATTATACAAAACAAGATATCAAAAGTCCAACAAATTGACCATAAATTTTTGGTGTCGGGGCATCCATATCTAGCCTGTGACCGTTACTTTGGGATCATAGAGAAGAACAAGAAAACTTTTAATGATATTTATGTAGCCAGCGATTGGACCAGAGTGATTAGGACAGCCAAAAAACAAAAACCATTCACAGTAGTAGAAATGACCAGCAACGATTTCGTGAGTAGTGTTCCATTAGAGAAAACCATTACTAACCGTAAAAAGACTGTCGAGGGTGAATCGGTCAACTGGTTAAAAATGCAATGGTTGCGGTACTCTTTAACCGAACCATTACAATTACAATATAAAGAATCTAACAATCCGAATGTTATTTTTAAACATATAGATATTACGAAGCGCAATATATCTATGTTTATTGGAAAACTTCCACTTTTATACCCAAAAGGCAGAGACATTGAAGCAGCTAAATTTAGCAATTTACAAGATTTGTTGGTGTATGTACCACCCTATTTATATAATTTTTATAACAACCTAAATGTTAGAAAGTCTGATCAACAAAATATACAAAAATATACAAAATAATGATAAAGATAATGTGTTTTACGCTATAGAAGATTCCGAACAAATGGTGGAATAAATGTTTATAAAAAAAATAGTTAAGGGCATTGTTTTGACTTTTGTTTATTTTTTGTATACAAGTATTGTAAAAATATATTTTATACAAAAAAGCACTTTATTTTTTTTTATTTATATAATGTTAGTGCAAAAGGGCCTACAATTTTTTTTTTCCAAAAAGATTTTGAAAATTTTCCTTTTTTGTGATATTAATGTAAAATGAAATTTGCCAACTTAATCTAAGGTGTTGAAATTTAAAACTAAGGACAATAATCCTTAGAGAAACAGAGAGCAGTCAAATTTAAAAAAACTAAATCGTCAGTTTTTACGAGTTAGGCCACTCTTGCACTAAGCGCCTTAAGTAAGTTTAAAACTCAGTACCTATTCATTATTGATAACACGCAACCAAATAGACTACATTCAGCACGTACTCGAAACTAATTAACAATCGATTCGTCGCCGTTATCAACAGCTTGGCTTGTCATATACGACAACTTGGCGTATTTTACGTAAGGATCTTGGTTTAAAAGCATATATAATTCAATTAGTGCAAGAGCTGAAGCCGACCAACCTTCCGAGTCGTTAACGTTTCAGTCGATGGACTCTTGATAAGCTTTCAGAAGATCCACTGTTTTCGAGAAAAATTTTGTTTTAGATGAGCCCCATTTTAATGGTTACGTTTTTAAACAAAATTCCCATATTTGGTGTGACCAACAACCTAAAGAGGTTAAAGAGTTGCCATTACCCCCTAAAAAAACAACTGTCTGGTGTGGTTTATTAGCTGGTGAAATCGTTGGTCCATATTTTTTTAAAACAAAGGCAGGCCAGAATGTTACTGTGAATAGAAATCGTTATCGCGCCATGATAACGGACTATTTGGTACCTGAAATTGAAGTTCGTGGTCCCTACGACATTTGGTTTCAACAAAATGACGCCATTTGCCATACAGCCCGTGAAAGCATATCTTCCATGCGATAACGATTCGGTGAACAAATTCTTTAAACAAATTTTAAATAAAATCCTTTATAAAAGGTATTTAATTTAAAAACCCAATCGGGCTATATCACAACAACAAAACATTTTCGGAATCCATATTCCATCATCGGTGTGTAGGTGTACATGTTTTGAGTGTACATGTTTAAATTTAGTTTACATAATGTGATCTTATATAGAAATACTAAAATCAGAAATACTGCATGCTATAAAGTTAGGTAAGAACAAGAAAGCCGTTGGCCCTGATAACATACCGAGAGAGATGTTAAAGCTTATAAATGAGGAGAACATTGGAATACTGGTCAAACTTTTCAATGATGTTTATTCGACTGGTGATATCCCTGAAGATTGGTTAAAGTCCGAATTCATAACACTACCAAACAAACAACGTCCGAAAAACTGTAGCGATTATAGAATGATAAGCCTAACTGATAGCCACACTTTGAAAATATTTCTACGCATCATCCACAGTAGAATCAGAGATAAATGTGACGAAGATCAGGATGAAACACAATTTGGCTTCAGAAATGGACTGGGAACTCGGGACGACCTCTTTGCACTAAATATATTACTGCAGGAATATCGAGATCAAAGGAAAGACGTCTTTGCTGTATTTATTGACTATGAAAAGGCCTTTGATTGAGTACAGCATCACAAATTAATTACAATATTAAAAGATAAAGTAGTTGATAGTCAAGACATACGATTCATAGAAAAGTTATACTGGCGTCAAACAGCGACAGCTTGCATAAACGGAAAATCAACAGAAATATGTAAAATACAAAAAAGTGTTAGACAGGGTTGTATACTATCCCCACTTTTATTTAATTTATATTCAGATAGAATATTTAAAGAAGCGCTACATAATTTGGAATGGGGCGTGAAAGTTAATGGAATTCTGATAAATACAATCAGATATGCAGACGATACAGTTATTTTAAGTGATGGCATGAATGGACTACAATGCCTTTTAAATGCCATTGATACAGTGGGAAGAGAGTTTAGCCTAAATATAAACTGTTCAAAAACAAAACACATGGTGTTTAGCCGTTTAGCACATCAAGATGCACGATTATATGTTGATGGTCATATAATTCAAAGAGTGTCCAGTTTTAATTATCTTTGTTGCCATATTACTGACCAACTAGATGCAGATCAAGAGATAAAATGTAGAATCGAGATAGCCCGCACGACATTTTTAAAAATGAGGTCATTCTTCTGTAATGATAACTTGCAACTTCAACTTCGAAAGTGCATGGTTAAATGCTACATTTGGTCAGTCCTCTTATACGGTGTCGAAGCATGGACATTAAAAATATCCACCATTAATCGTCTGGAGGCCTTTGAAATGTGGCTGCACAGACGTATACTAAAAATTCCATGGACGGCTATGCTGACAAATGTGGCAGTCCTTGAGAGAGCAAATGCTGCTCGCGAGCTGCTTGATAACATCAAATGTAGGAAGATGGCCTATTTTGGGCACGTAGTAAGGGGAGACTGATATAATATTCTTCAACTTATTATGATGGGTAAAATCAAAGGACGCAGAGAAATTGGTAGAAAGCAGGCCTCTTGGTTGAAGAATATCAGAGAGTGGACAGGAATAAAGAAAGCTGAGCAACTCTTTAGAATAGCTCGAGACAGAGACAGTTTCGCCATATTAATCGCCAACGTCACGGGGACTTAATAGGGCACGTTAAGAAGAAGAAGATCTTATCTTATAAGAAGAATTGGCCGCCTAGATCCTGTGACATGTCCCCTCTAGACTCCTTATATTCGAGCTACCTAAAATATAACGTCTACATGAATAAACCAGATACGATTGAGGTATTTATTGCGCGATTTGGTTAGAGGCACTGCATGATTTGGCTGGGAATTATATTGCCAGTGCTGTATACAAAATCCTGAAAAGGGTTGAAGAAGACTATCCGTTATTGGAGGATTTGACTTTGTGGAGCGATAATTGCGTTACGCAAAATCGCAGTAGATTTATAAGTTTTTCTATTGCATATATTTTAAAAACTAATACAAACTTTAAGAAAATTCAAATGAAATTTTTCCTGCATACTAGAGGTTGATTCAGTTTAAATGAAATAAGGTTGAATGCTCGAATAAATGAACTTTGAAAAAAAGGCTATTATCGAGCACAAGTTAATTAAATCAAGCCCAAGTACTTTCGCTTAAAATAGCATCTTCAGGGGCATCTGAAATAAGCCAAGAAAACGTTTTTTAGATGAAGTAAATTAGTTAACTTCGATAAAAAACTCGAAGTTAATGGATGAAAAAAGTTTTTGAGATTAACATTTTAGACTTACTTCGTCAAAATGTGAACTATCCGGCAAGCGTAGAATGTGGAAACATTAAAAATAACATAAAATTGTACAAAACACTACACTAAAACGAGGACAAACAGTTTAAAATTACTTAACGATTCTACGCTAAATTCTCTGTCAGTATCTGGAGGGATAATGATCTAAGCGGAAATGATACGGTGACATGTGACATATGACAACTTTGATAGGCAGTCAAAGTTATGGATCTGTGATCAGCAAATATTAAAATTCTGTATAACTTCTCATTGGGCAAAGGTCCAACTAGAACTACTACTGATAAAATCAGCTGATGAAGTATGACATATAGAATATTTGGATTTAAACTAGATTGCATAATCCAGATCTCACACTCACACCCGTCTGTAATAATAAGGTTGTAGGTTTGCGGCTAAATGAAGTGTACATAAAGTGTGAATGAAAGAAATAGACCAAACGATCTATTGGACAGTGGGTAGTTGACTACAATAAAATGGTCTACCAGGCACTGTCAATACTGCAAAACGAGAAGAAAATTGACTATGAAATTGAAATATTAAAATTAAATCAGAATTGAAAGCAGTGTGTAAATGGGTATAGTTCAAGTAGTTCAGTTAAACCTCAAGCCAATGGGGGAACTATAAAACTAATATATAATAGCATTACTAAAGACCAACTGACCAACAGGTGTTGAAATATAAAACTGTGGAATTAGTATATGTAGATTATGCAGAGGTATGAAGAGTGAAATTAACTCCAACTGTGGATCAATTGAATCTGAGCAAGCTAGTTGTGTAAATTGTTAAATACAATAGTAATGCTGAACAGAGTTTGAAATTGGTAGATTCTTAATGTATAAACTCAGTGCAGGAAGTCTAGACAGCCGAGCTGGGTCCACTACGAGGTGAAGCTGTAATAAAGTTTTTAAAAATAGGTTTAAATTTAGTACAGTTTAAATTAATTTGAGTATTAAGACTCTAATTGTCTTTGTTTCCATTCGTTTCCTTTGTGATCTCCAAATCTTCCAATAGATCCAACTCCAAATAGTTTTTCTTTCTACTGATGTCATACAAAATAGATGACCCAGTATTGATGTTGAAATTGTATTTGCTAGACTCTAAATGTTGACCAAAACTTGAAGAGTTTGGTCTTTTTAAATGTTCTGATATTCTAGTAGATAGCTGTCTAATGGTTCTGCCTATATAAGAGGCATCACAATCATCACATTATAATTTGTAAATACCACTTTTGTCAAGTGTGTTCAGCCTGTCTTTGGTGTTAATTAAAAAGGAACCTACAGTGTTGTGTGACTTAAAGGAAATTTTGATGTTTTCAACTGCAGAAGTAAAAAGTTTAGCTATTTTATTAGAAATGTTACTAATATAAGTAAAAGAGAAATATCTGATGTTGTTAGAGGCATTTTGTTGGAGAGGACTTTGTGATGAATATGCAAGCTTTTCTGTAATTTTCAGTTTGGCTCTATTTAGAAGCTTATGGATAATGTTGGGATCATAACCATTCTTTAAAGCAATTTGTTTGAGAGTGTTGAGTTCAAATGATAACTTTAATGTTTCTTTACAATTTACTAGAGATTTTTATGACATCGTTTTCCGAACCACTTTTAACGAACGTGAATAAAACATCATCATTTTAAAACAACGGAATGCCAGAAGACATACTGCTGAAAATGACGAATACCCATATCCATAAACAAAAATGATATTAAAGTCACATTGGCATAAAACAAAGTGGAAGCTCTGAAATCTATCTATGCACAAGTGGATGCCAGATGTAGACAGAAACTTTTATATTTACATGTTTTTCAACATTTGAAGCGTGCATTTCCATAACGTTGTAAGTGCCAATATGCCTCATTTGGTTTTTTTAAGTTAAAATAGTTGCAAGTGCCATGTTCCATCGCCTAAAATTTATTTCATATCGATATGGCTAGGGACGGCGTGAAAAGTGGGGATAAAGTAGCGGTGCAAGTCATAACGTTGTAAGTATCGTAGTGCAATTCTGTTAAATGTAGAGTGGCGCATCAGTTACTAAATTATTTTTGTTTGGACGTGTTGTGTTGGGTTTAAACATAAGTATTTGGAACGAATATGGATAAAACTACAGAAAAACGGCCCAAAAAGAAAAGAAGAGTTGTTGATAGTTGGAAAAAAAAATAAAACCAAGAAAATGAGAAACTCTGACGAAGAATATGTTTCTCTAGTCAATAAAAAGACCGTTACAAAGAAAATGCCACCAGCTGATGTAAGTATGGTTTAAAGAGATACCTATCTAAATAGACGTTAAAACATAAATATTTTTTTTTTGTTTAAATCTATCTAAATAATCCAAAATTGTTTTAGGTAAAATGCAAGTGTCCACTAGCATGTAGATCCATAAGACTGGAATACCTTGTTGAGTTGTACAATCATTTCTATGAAATGGCTGATTATAGTAAGCAGCAAAGTGACCTACAAAGGTTTATTCATCCCCAATTAATCAAAAGGAGACGCCATGGTCAGTACGAACATCCCAGTGAAGGTAGGAGAAAGCACTCTTTCACCTACCATTTACTTTTGCCTGGAGGATCTGAAATAAGGGTTTGCCTCAAAAGACTTTGTAGTACGTTTGCCGTAACTCCAAGAAGAGTGCAACTTTTGGGAGAAAAAATTCTTGATGGTATAATGGATATGTCAGAAAAACGAGGAGGGGCTCGACAAAATATTTTCAAGACTGTCTGGACTAACAAGATTATAGAGCATATCGAAGGTTTTCCAAAAATTGAGAGCCACTACGCAAGGGCGAAAACCCCGGATAAGCTCTTTTTGTCACCGGATTTAAACGTAAGTAGAATGTACCGTGCATTTTTAGAGAAATATTGTGCGGATTATTAACCGCCTAACAAACCACCAGTGACTAGACAATGGTATAATGAAATTTTTATATCAAAATTTAACTTATTTTTGCAAGGCCTAAAGTAGATACATGCTCCACATGTGATAGTTTGGCTGTTCAAATAAAATCAGGAGATAAAGCTGCTGCAACAGAACAGGAGCTTCACCATCGGAGAGCAGAGGCTGCTACAAAAGCAATGTCAACTGAGACCAAAAATGCATATACAAGTAATTGCTATGTTCTTTCCTTCGATATGCAGCAGCAAATGTACATTCCCCAATTAACTCACTCCGAAATGTACTATTCACAATAGCTTGCAGTGTGTAACTTAGGAATTCACGATTCCATCACAGGAACGGGATTCATGTGTTAATTGACTGAGGACTTTGGGGAAAGGGTGCCTTGGAAATTAGCTCCTGTTTACATACTTACCTTACTAAGGAAATTGGCAATCACGGAAAGAAAGCTTATTTTGTGGTCGGATAATTGTGGGGGTCAAAATAAAAATCAGTTCATGATCGCCATGTATTTGACCATACTAGCAAATAACGTTTTTGAGGAAATTATTCATAAATTTCCTGTAAAAGGACACACTTTCCTTAATTGCGACAGAGATTTCGCAATCATAGAAAAACGTAAAAATGTGTGTAAGGCTTATACATTGATGAATGTTGTTAACATCATTACTAGTGCGGCTTAGAAAAATCCATTCTCGTGCATGGTGGTTAAGGACTTTTATGATTTCAAAACCGTTGCCTGTGATAAACTGAACACAAAGAAGTTAGGAATTTCAACAGCTACGCAGCTTCGACTTACAATGAGAGAAAATGTTGGTACGGTGAATGGTGGCTAAAAGTACATAGTGCGCTCGCTGGATTTGAAGTGAGTACCAATGTACTCAAATCTGGAGTACATTAGAAAAGACTTTAAAATCAAAGACCCTTCAAAAAACTAAACTCACTTGAGGTATCCCAGAGTAAAAAAGAACAGATAGTGAAAAAATGCTCCAAATCTACACTAAGATGCCAAGAAGTAAATTTAAAGAAAAATACTGTTCACCATGGTCAGTAATTTCTACTGAAGTAAACAACGGTTCAAAATCTGGGCACTAAAAACGTTTTAGACTTGACAAACACAGAGTGGCACTAACGTTTTTAACGGTTTGACCTTAGAAGATTTTTGAAATTTTTTTAAGTAATCTTGTGTATTGTTCCATTGCGGTATGTTAGTATTATAATATTACCTTAAACTAATCCTTATTCAGTATGTAACCCTTATAAGAAAATAAACGTAAAATAAAAAAAAAACCTGTTTTTTTACTCCTCCTGAAAAAATTTAAAATTTGGCACTTAACTACGTTAAGGAAATGCACGCTTCATTGTGTCAACGATAAAACAGTTAAAACTGAGATTGCTGAATCAGAAGATAATGTTAACAAAGACTTATGTGTTAAGTTAATTGCATTTTTACGTTTTTTAATAGAGTACACGAGGAGTTTTTGATCATTTTTTTATTTTCCAATAAAAATATGGAGGGCAAAAAAAATAAAAAGTTATTATTCCTATTTTTTTTTTAATGTGCCTTTGTAGTAGACTATACATCTATTATGTATTATAAACCAAAAGCAAATATACTTTTTTCTTATGCCAATATCTTAATGGTCAAAATCTTCATAAGTCATTTTTCTCAGGTTTCTACATTCTTGTACCCATACAACCTGTAATTTCCTTCGGCAAACGAAAAACGGTAACTAGAAAATATTATTAAAAGGACAATATTCAACAGCGAAAACGACAGCAAGCATAATTTTTCCAAATAATTACTTAATTAAAAATGCACACATTTCTATTATGTTGTGCAAAACCAAATAACTGAAGGCAATAAAGTATTTTAACCTTTACACAAATATCATAAAAAGGTTTTAAACAAAGAATAAAAGAAACAGTTGTAATTTACTAATTGGGGAAATTTTTTTTAATAATGGAGTGCGTGATGGCAAACGCCAATTAAGTTCAGTAAATGACCCGGAATTGATTAGGTATCGATTAACTGTTTATTTATTCCATTAACTCTAGTATACCGAGTGGTAGAAAACTCTAACAGTAACAAGCAATTATTTGAAACCTAACACTACTTCTCAAAAATTTCAAATTTTGACAAATCAAGAAAAACTGCACAGCTTCAATTTATTTTAAATCATACTTTTACTTGACATTCATTGGAAGGAATGTGGATATTGTTTACAGATAAATAATGTACGACATATCCAACACAGTAACTGTATACATATTTATCTACATACCAGTATTTTTTAGTAAGATAATCCCGACACGGGCCTTAATAACCTGCGATTGGAAATTTGACAGATAATACAACAGCGTTCCGATCGGCAAGCCGGCAGAGATTTCCTAGACAAAACATCCATGGGTGCCCCCTCGCGCTAAAAAAAAAAAAAAAACCTGACCTGGCGTGGACGTATCCATCCTTATTCGAAAGGAGAGTCGCCAGGGGATTCCAGATTAACGGTGCTTTAAATATGATTACAGAGTGATAATATTGTTGTAAACAGTTAGTTTTTAATCTGAATATAATGTAATCTAGTGTTGAATGATTTGTCGGGAATATAAAATAGTAATAAATGAAAAAAAATAATAATAATTATAGTGAAAAAATAAATGAGTATAAGTAAATGTATAAATACAAGACGTTAATTATCTTGTTAACGTTATGTCCTTGTAAAAAGTGTAGAGACCTTTATAAATACTTAAAGACAAAAAATTAGATTAATAAACTCAGTTCAATATCAAAATAATAATTGTACAAGTTGATTTCATGTTGATTAATGATATTTTAACTAAATAACAAGTAGATAACATAGCAAAATATAATAGCAAAATAAACATACTAAACCTAATATCCCTTGTAATAAAGAACAAAAAATTATATGAATGTATATTCTAACCACCCACGCTACTAAATCATCCGCTAAATAGGGCTAACGGACTGGAGTATGGCCCTTGGTTTCCCTAGAATTAATTGTTCTAGAATAAAAGTAAAAATTCTATAATTAAGGAGATTCTGGAGCTAATTTGTTAACTCCATTGGATCGCTAAATTTTGAATGACTTATTTTATTTTTCGCTTTATTTGGTATTAGAGTTGTTTGTTTTGATGTTGTTCCAGTAATGGTATGGAACGTCTATGGGCCCTGATGATACGTTGACAACTTCTCAGGATACTTTTCCAAATATTCGGCCACATTCTGTGCTGAATTATTTAATGGAAATTGTTGTTATAGCTTTCTTTTAAATAATAAATTACTCAAATCTATTACGTTTATAAGAAACCAGTCATAGTATTCTTTCCTACAATCAATCACCACTTTAAAAAAAAGAAGAGGCAAGCATCAGAGAAAACACCATATAACATGGAATTTCTATCTTCATTCTTAAAAAACCAATGCTAATTGTCAATTCCATCGTGAGAGGTAAAACAACGCACATCCAGCAACAACACCTGACACAGTAGTCAGACAAAACAGTGTTTTTTTCTATTTTTGATGTAATAAATGGGATACGTCTTGGTTAAACTTCCGTTTAGCAAAAAACTGTCGGGAAAGATGATATTTGTTCATATAAGAAATTTTGTGTCAAAATTAAAGCAGCAACTACTTAAGTTAGAACGTCTAGTTAAGTCAATAGTGTTGTAGACAGCTCACTTTACGACAGTGATGAAGTAAATCTTTAAATATATTATTTTTTTCAAAATAAGTGTGCTGGTACTACTAGTATTTTACAGGACTTAGCGAATATGTTCTTGACAACACACTCTAAATGTCACAATATTCGATGAAAGCCACATATGTAGGGCAGTGTTTCTCGGTTTATTAAAAAGGTGTTATTTAGTGAGAATTTGTCCATAGTAAGAATTGCATGAATAGTCAAAAAACAATCTTTAGAAACAGCTATCAGCTCAACATAGCTGAACTATCTCATAGAGATGAAAATACCAATTTGTATGGACAGAAAATATAAAGGTATGGGAAATGTCATCATGTTTCTCAAGAAAATTTCGGACATTGAAATATAGATCTCATTAATTCCAACCTATGAAAGATCAGTGCGGTATGTGTGCAGAGTATGCCAATAAAAAATAAAAAGAGTAAGGTCAATTTAACAGAGAAAAATGTGATTCGATCATTTAAAAAGCAAGAAGATCTGTCACATATATAAAAAAAATAAAGATCAGCAAAGAAGCAAAGTGCACATCATGTTTATATATCGGAATGAATTATGATTTACAGGCAGAGTACTCCCATCACACCTAGTAGGGGACATCAACTCCTTTAGCTGTAAAATCAAAGAATATGAGTTATGTATAACTTTACTATAATTTGACTTAGGATTATTGAATGGCTATCTGCAATGTTAGGCACTTAAGGTAGAAAGGAAACTATGGATTCTAATGAGATACATGGATTATGTTTATACTCATTTCTTAAAAATGGAAATGTGCCCTAAAGCCCTTCCTGATGTATTTTACTGCGACAATTGCTCTGGTGGAGACACAAAAACAATATTAATAACCTTGTAACAACATACTTTAAATAGTAAGGCAACCTCTATAATCCTTAAATCACTTTTTTTGAATTCTGGTCATAATCAAAATAAGGAAAACAACAATACATCCCTGATATGAAAACCCGTAGAAGAAATATCCCTAACTATCTAATATTTAATGGTTATTGGAAGAAATAACACCTTTGAGTTTTTAGCAACATTAGGACAACAATTGTTACTAAATTAAATAAGTTTAGATTCATAAATACTACAATACAAGATTACTAATTGATTAAAACAACCAAATATTAATCTTTTATTGAAGTAAAAAAAACAACACTTTCATTCCAATTTAATAGAAATAAGTACTCAACATATAAATAGTAATGGATAAGTCTACCTACACGAATTTTACACAAATTGGCACATTTGACATTATGACAGTCGTTGTTTGCTACGGTGGCTGACATATATTCTCAATTGCCTTTCCTTTATTATGTTGAAATCATCTGATTTTCTGGCAGTAGTTTGAGTTGTAGTTTCAGTTTTTTATCACAATATGTATAAATTATCACATCTAGGGCAAGGAAAAAATAAATTATAAAAACAAATGTTATAATAAAAATCCAGTAAGAAACCTTGGACTGCTTAGGTAATGTTCTTGAAAAGGCATGTTACATAATATCCAAACAATACAAACGAAGATGCTTTGGCACAAATACTTACTTTTTTTCCGGTATTCGAATTTTATACAT